TGGTGAAATGATGGTGCTTTTCTAAGAAAGCATTTGGAAACAAGGCTCTTCCTGAGAATGATCCAAAACCAACTAATTCTGTGTCCAAACTAATTTCCAGCCAGGGAAAACAAACTTCCAAATATTTCAAGGATGTTTTGTTAAAGCATGGTTTGCTTTCAGCCACAGCCACGCAAAGGAGCTTTTGCCTCCAGCTCATCCCATTCCCCAGGTCTGGAGATCAGCCTCTGTCTCCTGACCAAGCTGGGCTGTTGAAAAGCCCCCCTGGTAGAGCAGGCATCGACACAAGAGCTAGCTGAGGAAGAAACATGCCTGGGAAAATGCAGGGTGGAAACTGCACTACCACGTGCCTTGACTGTTTCTCTGGATAATGCAGAACTAAAATGCAACAGCAAACCTGGGAAAAAAGTGTCCAGGGTTTTTAAACGAGGTCACATTGTTTTAGATCAAAACCCAACCAAAGGCAGATTATCTATGAGAAGAAAAAAAAGAGATATCTCCTCATTACTGGGGAGGAAATAACTGAGGATCCTTTCTGCTGATTCAGATAAGGCTAAACTATGTTCCTTCTCTCCCTCCCACTCTGTGCATCCCAAGTATTTGAGTTTTGTTTCTTTGGGAGTTGACTCCGTTGGCTGTTTGGAACAGACCCAATCATTGTGCAAGCACAAAAACCTGAACCACTGCCTACAGCACCAGAAAGATCCCGCTGCCCAGCAGCCAGAGAAGCCCAGGCTTCCCACAAGAACTGCTCTGCAACTTATACACCCCATGGTGAGGAACACGATGAGAAACGTGCTCAGTGACCACTTCTTACCTTGGAATTAACCGTGCCCCGGTTGCAGTACAGTTTGGCATTTGTTTTTATATTATTGGGATCTATTCCTAGTGCCTCTGTGTACAGTTCATATGCTAATTTGTAGTTTCCATCTTTGAATGCTTTATTCCCATCTTCTTTCTTCGCTTTAAGTGCTTTGGCATTCTGAAAGGAAACACACCCTTTTTCAAGATGAGAATGTGACAGTGAAGTAAATTTATGGGTTAGAAAAAAGACAGACAGAATGGGAGGGACCTCACATTTAACAAGTTGGTCAAAGACCTACAACAGAGAAGGAGCAACATGAAAGGAACAGCGTTTAAACACAAGTCGACCTGTAGGCACTAAGTTCTTCAGGAGTAGACAGAGCGAGTTTTACTGCTGCTCTATCTGATCGAGGAACAAAGAGTGAAAGGGAGGCAGTCTCCAAAGTGCCAGAGCCTTTGGAGAAAGAGCTTCTGGCAACTTGGTTTTACCTAAAGCTGCTTGGCTTTGGGAAAGACACACTACTTGCTACTGCAGCTCTGGGGAATGAGAACGTTGAGGGAGGGAGAAGGGGTTGATGCAGCAGAACCCTGGTACTTCTGCAGCCCCATCCCCAGTGTCCAGGACTCACACGGCAGGCGAGACACGCTTTCTCGTGGTCAGGAGCCATTCGGAGGGCCTGGACAAAGAACTGCACTGCCTTCTCAATACAGTCCTCATAATAGAGGCACAGGCCCCGCACATAGAGAGCGTCCGCGTTCGTCGAGTCCATCCGTAAGATGTCACTGCAAGAGACACATCAGAAAGTGAAATGTTTCCCTATTCCGGCTTCCTTCTGCCCTCCAAAAGCACTCTTCTTCCACTGAGATACTTGGTTATTTTACCAAGCCAGTGGTACAGACGTGCAGCGAGTCTGGGAACCTGGCTCAAGCACTGCTGCTTACTAAGAGTCTAAATGCAGTTTCCGGGTAAGATGAGCTTTAACGAGGATAAATCCAGGCTGTCTTCTTCCTCATCACAATGTGCATTAAGGACTATTTTTCCACATACCCTCACTCATTTCAGGCTGCAGCCAGGACTCAGCACCAGCCGTAACTCCAACTCCAGGCCGTGGGACACTCACCTTGCTACAGACTGTGCCTCTGGGTAGCGACCCAGTAACGCTAAACACTCAGCCTTGAGGATTTTGAACCGGTGACAAGCAGGAGCAAACTCCAAAGCACGATCCATGCAGAACACAACCTGGTGTGAGGAAAAAAACCACGCAGATGTGAGCAAAGCAAACAGCCCAAAGCCCAGCTGGAAAGGCTGCACCATCAGCACAGTTGAGATTTCATGTTTTCGTGCAGGGAAGCGTTGCAGACACCCCCTTCTGCTGCTGCTGGAGACACGTGTTTCATTAGGAAACACTCCTCGTGTGCAAGGTGTTCTGTCTTTTAAAGGGCTTTGGGTACAAAGGTCTGGGGCAGCTGCTAAGGTACTGTCACACAGAAGATTCAAGGGACACCTGTAGAAGGCTCATCCCTTTAACTCTTCTGGAACTGCAGGCCCTACAGAAGCCAAGGCAGACAAGTCTGCCCCTGTTTCCTGCCTCATAAAGACCCGCGGGAAGGACAGAAATCCAATAGATTGAGAGACTTTGGACTGGACAAAACACAAAAAAGTACAGTGCAGGGCCTGGTCTTCCACTGCTCTGCCTGCAACGGGCAGGGTGATCTAAGAGGTCTTTTCCTTCTCTGCCTCCCTGGTGGGGACATCTGCACGAGAAGAGGGGCATTGTTCCACCAAGGTTCATCTGCTTGCCCGGCCCGTGACATCACGAGCGCTGGCTCTGGGGAGCACTGTGCTCCAGACTGAGGCTTCTGGGCGAGGAAGGAGCAGAAGCAGCTCTCCAGAAACAAAGATGACATTTCGTGCAAGCCTCCCCAGCGAAGTGAGAGGAGAGGTGAAGGGACAGATGCAAAAGCCCAGAATATGCAATCCAGGCAGGGCAACTCCTTCACATCGAGTTCAGGCTGACCATACATCCCATTCGCACCTCACAACCAGGTGATACAAAGGGGGGATTGACCACAATCTTGAGAGCTTAGCCCAAGAGTCAGTGACCTGAACAATGAGCTTAATGTGCTGGACAATCTCCTTTCCGGGCCAGACTTGGGCCTTACATCATCCACTGAACAGAAACAGTTGCATGAGAAGTGTTTGGTGCCTTTCAGAGTTCATGCCTTTGGGAAGAAAGATCTGGAAGCAGCAATGAGAATGCCCCAGGCAGATCTGCATTCCTCCTCAGTGACCCCCCTAGAACACTGCCACACAGCTGCCTTGGGTTTGTGTTTCAATTAAAGACTTGAGAAAGAAGGATCCTGGACATGCACTTTAGGAGCAAAGCACGATCAAATCTGTATCAGGAGCCCCTGTAGGAGGCCTATGAGGATGCTGCAGAGGGACTCTTCAGCAGGGTCTGGAGCGATAGGACGGGGGGTGGTGGGTTCAAACTGAAACAGGGGAAGTTCAGGTTAGATACAAGAAGTTCTTCCCTGTGAGGGTGCTGAGGCGCTGGCACAGGGTGCCCAGAGAAGCTGTGGCTGCCCCATCGCTGGCAGTGTTCAAGGCCAGGTTGGACAGAGCCTTGGGTGACATGGTCTAGTGTGAGGCATCCCTGCCCATGGCAGGGGTTGGAACTGGATGGTCTTAAGGTCCTTTCCAGCCCAAACCAGCCTGGGATTCTATGATTCTATGAACAGCTCATTCATGGCTCCACTCACCCTGCAAAGCAAACAGAGCCATTTTCACAGCTAAGGCACAGTTCACAAAACAGCCCTGCCTCAACAGCAGATGTGGAACAGCACCTCCCAGGAGGGCCCAGCTAATGCTAGGCAGGGAAATCAGACATGCACCTGCCTGAACTCGACAGATGAGACACAGAAACAGCAGAGCCAACCTCACCTTCCTGAAATCCCGTTTCTCAAAATCCACCTCAGCTATTTTCTCATACTCCAGCACAGTAGTGGCATTCTTCAGCTGAAAGACAGGAGAACACAGCAAGTGCTGCAGGACAGTCACTGCTCTGAAACACCATCGAGCAGCATTTAGCAGCCAGTCCCTGAAGTATCAGAGCAGAAAGTACTGCAGACCATGGAACAATAATGTAGATTTATGAGAATACTTCTGCCAACATTAAAATCAACTTGAAATCAAGTGACCTAACTGGCAGCCCAGGAAAATGTACCCCTGTGAATGAGATACAGAAGAGGCAGCAGCCTTCAAACATAAGCCCCCAGCACAAGAAGGATGTGGAACTGCTGGAGTGAGGCCAGAGGAAGCCACAGAGCTGCTGCGAGGGCTGGAGCAGCTTTGCTCTGGAGCCAGGCTGAGAGAGCTGGGCTGGGGCAGCTGGAGAAGAGAAGGCTCCTGAAGGGGAGACCTTAGAGCAGCTCCAGTGCTGTGATTCCACCTTGCAAACTGGAAGTAAAAGGCTGACCAGTTCAATCCATTCCCTCCAACAACCCCATCTACTGGGAATATTTACATGTTAAGAACCTCTCACCTCCTGCTGTGCCTGGGTATTCTTATGATCCAGTTCTAAAACTCGTTGAAAGCAGCGGCTGGCAGCCATGGCCTTCCCTAGGGAAAAATGGCACTTCCCTTTCCGTAGATGGCCCTGAGAAGAGTTAAAAGGCAGTTGCAGTAGGTGGAGACAAGGGTATTGAGGCATGAGGAAGAAGTCTGAAGTTCTCCACATACCCTTACAAAGCTATCATCCAGTCTGACAGACTGCTGAGCGTCTCCCAGTGCTTCTCGGAATCGCCCCAACATCATGAGTGTGGCAGCTCTGTTACCATAATAACTGGCATTGTTAGGACAGGTATCTGGAGGAGGTGTAAGAGCACCCGCTGTTAGTGTCATGCAAACAGCTATACAACTTGTAGTACATCTTAAAATGCCCTGCTTGGATTGAAAACTCACCCAACCCTCCCAGTGCGTAACATCAGAGTGGCTTAAGATGACATATGATCGACCAGCAGCTGTTTTAAATAGCACCTCATAAAACTATTGCTCCCCACACTACACACAGGAGTTAACTCCTACCCTGTGTGCTGTTCAGCCTGGCAGCACTGCTGACCCCGAGTTAGAGGGAAAGCTGGACTGGTTTCATGTTAAGAATAGCTTGGCTGGAGGAGAAACAAAGAACTGCTGCAGTCACCCACGCTGGCACCGACCTGCACTCCCAATCTGGTGCAACTGCACAGGCAAAGAGCTTGCATCCAGCCTGTGCTGTGAGAAACCCTGCTGGTACGTTTGAAATCAATAACCAGCTTTGAGTTTTAGACGTGGCATTCAGCAAAGACTTACATCCTCAACTGTTCTCACCTATGGCTTTCGTGTAATAGTTGTACGCTTCGTTGTAATCCTTCTTGGCGTAGTACGCGTTTCCTTGTTCCTTGAAAGACTCTGCTTCTCTGAAAGGAAGCAAAACACCACGTTTTGGGAGGAAATGAGCACCAGGACAGATTCTGACCATGGCTGAGCATTTGATCCCCAAGCAACCTTGCTCCAAAACGCTTGTATAGCTGGTTGCTGCGAGGTTTCCTCTGTGAACACTGTGCATGAGAAACCACACACCTCCCATCCTGCTGGCTCTGATTCTTCATCACTTTACCAGGGCCATGAGTAGGGATACTCAGGGGGGTTACCCAGGCCAACATTACGGGGGCACTGGCTTCCAAGAGCCCAGCAAAACTCCCCTGTACATGGTTAATCAAAGCAGCCCGCTCCTGTCAGGTGCTGCGCAACCTCAGCACTCACTGAAGTCAAGGAACAAAGTGCTATTTATCTTTCAGTAGTCCCACATACTTAAGAAACAGGGCCAAGAACAATTTCTACATTCAAAAGACAGCTAAATCAAAGAGAAATAAGGGTGCAGCCTCAGGCAGAAGCTTGGCACTGCCTTGGCAACAGGTCCAGAAATAGTCCTCGCGCTCAAGAGCAAGCATTTGCAGAGACAGTTTAGGACATTTAAAAACACACAACATATGGTTTAAAGCAGCATCCCTTAAACTCCTGAAAGCAAAGTTTCTCCTGAAGGAAATTAAACCCTTCTTTTTTCCTCTCTCATCTACCTTGAGAGAAGCAGTTTGAGAGGGAACTTGTACCACGGTGTCGTAGTTGAACTCAGCTTCACTGAACTGAATTCAGTGGTTTAGTTCACTCGCTTCCCTCCCTGGACTGTTTAACACACAAGAACTATGAGGCCAACTGAAAAGCAGCAGCACCCCACTCTAGATCCAGCACTCAAGACTTGCATCATGCCTTTGGGACTTCACTGCTGTAGCCGAGAGACAGACACTGTTTGTCCACCCTCCAAAGCACTCGCACAACCAGGCAGCGCAGAAGCTGAGGCAGGAGGAGGCACCCACCACTGAAGGAGAGCAATGTTCAGCAAGCCCACTAGAGAGAGGACAAAGGGAGTTGTGTTGAAACAAGTTCACATGTTTTTAACCTCGCTCAGGCTTGCCATTGGCCATTCCCACACAAGTGCCTCATGCAAAGGGTTGTTTTCAGTGATCCAGCACGGCTTTGCCAGCTGGCAGAACAATAGACACAGGAGCTGCCGAGGGGCGCCTGCTCCTCACTTTCAGTTTGAACTTCAGCTGTCAGCTACACCCCAGCAAGGACCAGACACAGCCCTGCTCTAACTCTGCTCAACAGTGGAGAGAGCACACGACGTGTGGCTGGGGGTGGTTGAGATCAGAGGAACAAGCATCAGCGCGGCAGCCGCGGGGCAGCGCGGGGGGCTCAGCCCCATCCCTCCGAGCTGGGAGCTGC